TTCTTTCTTTTTATCACCTTAAGGGAGATAAATTTAATTCAGTGCAACTGTTTAGACCCACAGTCATAAAAAAATGTGGGAAAACCAGTTTGTCACAGGGGCAGTATCCTTAAAGAGACAACTTTGTACCTATATCTACCACTAAAATGTTCATATGGCCTTATTCATATGACCTTAGAGTATGTATACCCAACAGGTGCTAGTATGAACCGTTCAGAAGTAAATGAAGTAAAAAGATGTCCCTTTGAGTTTATTGCCCCAGTGTAAATCTATGTTGTACTCATAAAGGTACAACTTTAGCTCTTTTTTTGTGAGTGTCCATACATCAAATATTGGCTTCAAGGTGACTCTAAAATGCTATTGTATCAGTGTAAAAAAAAAAAAAGTAAATAAAGTAGGCTGATATGTTTAAGCTAATAGTTTGGACATCACATTCATTCTAGCTGGCCTACCTATTGTTAAACACAAATATATAAAAAAATGCTTTCTCAGAACTGGAAAAGTTGCATTTTGGGTTCATTAAAAAATTGGGAATCCTAAATCCATTCTTCTAGGGAATATTTCTGTTGATATGTCTGGTGATATGTCATCTTTTTTTGACACTGTCATGTATTATTTAAAAAAGTGTAAGGCATTTCCCGAACATCACACCATTATATGAGAGTCGTAAAAAGCTGAACCATGGCCAGCCAGGCGGCAACTTTCTCCAATGAGTTCCTGTCTCGCTCTGCTTATCTTTACAAAGAAAACACGGAGCTAATGATTTGCCAGGCCACCTCCATATTAATTATTTTTTATTGAAAATCATACTCACACATGTGAACCTTGAGTGAGTGGTAGCACTTCCTTTTGCTGCTATTTAGCAGCTTTATATTTCCATTCATCTCTTTTAACAGAATTGCTTTAAGTCATCAATGTTTCTTTCTTTCTTTTCATTGCTCAATTCAGCATATTTCTGGGTTGAGGCTGAGTTCAACCAGGAAACTGTTTCTTCATCAGTTTCTTTTGCTATTTATTTGTATGCATGAGATTATTTTCAAACGACCACATTCTGCTCGTGGACACACACTTCATCCTCGTCTACCTTCAACATCTATTAAGAATTCGTCCTACCTTCAAGGCTAACTAATTCTGTTATGAAGTAATTTAAAGTTAGCAACCATTAAAAAACGTTCTTCAAAATACAAACATAAATTCGGAGTGTGCTCTTCTGGAGACAGGTATAAGAAATAACCTCATCAAACAAGAATTCTAAATACCAAAGAAAATAAGTTGCTGTTCTCAAAGGAGAGACTGCCCAACTGATTAATGGTTTTAAAAGGTCATGAAAACCCCAAGGAAAAAGTGAAACATCTAAAGATGTACTTAGCATTGATTAACATCTGTGTAATCTTTCAAAAAGAAAAATGAACAAGATAACCATGCATACACATATACCCTAGAGCTAAACCGATATTCAAATTCTGGCCAATATAAATACACTGATAATAAATATTAAAATATTAACCAATATTAAAATTTTATACTATTTTCTCTAAATAAATGTAAAAAAAAAAACTAAAAAGTAAAATAATTTTAAGTGCTACTAGTGAATTTACACTGTAAAAAAAAATCGGTGACATTTACGGTAAAATACCGGCAGCTGTGGTTGCCAGTACTTCACCGTAAAAAATATGGTAGCAAAATTTTAGGTTTTACAGACTTAACTTAAATTCACAATAAAATACAGTATTTCATTAACTGATGTAATGTTAATAAACCAACATATTGAAGTGTTAATATCTGTTTTGAACCATTGTAATAC